AGAAGACCAACAAGACGACGACAACTTACTGTGTATACTGCATGGCCAGATCTGTGAAAATCTTTCTTCGCTCACGATAAACAGTGTCCTTGAAACCCTGAAATTAACAAACAGGTAGGTTAAAAAAATGTAAAAGACTTTTTTTCTCGCATTTGGCGTGTCAGCATACTGTGCTAGACTAGTGCTATAGACTAATCCGCATTTGGCGTGTCAGCAAAAAGTGCTAGACTGACGTGTTATAGACTAATCCGCATGTGGCGTATCAGCATACTGTGCTAGACTGACGTGTTATAGACTAATCCGCATTTGGCGTGTCAGCATACTGTGCTAGATTGAAGTGTTATGGACTAATTCGCATTTGGCGTGTAAGCATACTGAGCTAGACTGTAGTGTTATAGAATAATCCGCATTTGGCGTGTCAGCATACTGTGCTAGACTGTAGTGTTATAGACTAATCCGTATTCGATGGCTGATGTGTTCAGCTACACATGGGCCGTCTTTATTTCTCACGACATTACGTGGTGCCCATTTCAGGCCTGGCCTACCCTGAAGTCAAGATCATTTTTTTAATGCGCATTTAAATGGATTTAAACCCTTTCCGGTCAGGCCAGGTGGCGAGCATGTAGCCATTATGTTTACTCGGCTTTCCAAACACAGTTACCTTTCATTAAAATTAGTAGCAGGTAAGCTGGTTATTGGTTAATTAATTACTCAATACATGGTGTATGCTGGCAGGTGTGCTAACACAAAGAAAGCATTAGGAGGGAAAAGGGGTGGGGGTCTCAAGGTGCCTGAGTCCCTAAATGTCTTTTTATGCAGGAGTGCGTCTGCCTGAAAAACCAGAAAACAACAGTCTGCATACAAATAAGCCAGATCTGTAAAACCCATGATTAAAGTCCTGGAACAAAGCTGAAGTCCAGAAATGGCCGCACAACAATGTTTATTGCAGATGAAGGCAAGCAAAGAGATCTTTCTCAATGCACATCGGACCAGTCTGTAAATACTGGGATTCCAGGTTCACTACAACCCGCTGTGTGTAGCAGCTGACAACAGCAGTTCTGGGTTGGTTCATTCATCTTCTTTAGCTTTCTGCAAAGTGCTCATTCCAGTCTGACCCAATTCACTTCTAGTTTCTGCAGTTTAGTCGAGCATTGATATTCGGACATCTCTAGATCTGTGTAATTGCCTTACTCCTGGTAACGACAAGAGGGGACGTGCTCCGCTCACTTTTTGCTTTTTGAACGTGGGTGGCTATTTTGATAAGTTCCGCTGAAAAACTAAGTTACTCTTTATATTATTACAGTAGTTGTATCATTGTGTCCGTGTGTTGTAGGCTAATCAACACTTTCTTACTGCAACGTTTATTTTCTTTTTCAGGATTTTTTAAAAGTTATTTTAAAGCTGATTAGTTTTACTTCTCTTTTAGATACATTTTAACTTCCATTAACTCCGTATGTCATGGTACACACACGAAACTGATATATTTACCAGCCATGAGATAGATATCATGTACGCTACTAACTCTTCACTACCTGGACACATTTCCAGCATTTGTAGGAGTTAAACATGTTATTGATGAGCTTGCTTGGGGGCAGATGGAATTCCTGCTGAGATCATCAGGAGTGGGAAAGACATTCCAATCCCACCCCAAGTGCTGAGGATAGATTCCACAAGACTTAAAACACTCAAGCATCATAACTATTTAAAGAGCAACGGGGATCGGGCTGAATTGACCTGACAAACGTTCAGTTTCCCCAGGCAAATATAACGTTTTCGGGATCAAATCAGGATAGGTTGTACGAGTAATACACTTCTTGAGGTACCTGGGCTAGCTACTGCTTCAGAGGACTGAGCAAGCGTGGGTTGCCCACGTGCTGTAACGTTGGTTTGTTTAATTTGCCATAATTAAAAAAAAAATAGATATTTGTACCAATTCGTGCAGGCAATAAAAAAAATATTTGATCAAATATATAATTAAGCCTTCACTAATTTGACAGCTAGAATTGCGTATCAGTGATCAAATATTTGAACTTTGAATTCGAGTCATCCTTTGACCTTATAAGGCCCTCCGGCACGAGGTTCACCACCCCTGGCCTTGACCACGAATTTGGTTTTATAGAGCAGAAAACCTCTAAGTCAATCAATACAACTTTCCCATGTGAGTTCCGGGAATCAATACAACTTTCCCATGTGAGTTCCGGGAATCAATACAACTTTCCCAATATAAGTTCCGGGAATCAATACAACTTTCCCATGTGAGTTTCGGGAATCAATACAACTTTCCTACGTGAGTTCCGGGAATCAATACAACTTTCTCATGTGTTCCGGGAATCAATACAACTTTCCCATGTGAGTTACAGGAATCAATATAACTTTCCCATGTGAGTTCCAGGAATCAATACAACTTTCCCATGTGATTTCCGGGAATCAATACAACTTTCCCATGTGATTTCTGGGAATCAATACAACTTTCCCATGCTAGTTACGGGAATCAATACAACTTTCTCATGTGAGTTCCGGGAATCAATACAACTTTCCCATGTGAGTTCCAGGAATCAATACAACTTTCCCATGTGGTTCCGGGAATCAATACAACTTTCCCATGTGAGTTCCGGGACTCCATTGTGGGAGAAAACTGAATAGACACGCTGCCCCTTCTAATAAGCACATCTTAAAAGCCATATAATGAATCGTGTTGTGTTTCCTTTTAAGTCGTTGTTGTTGTTGTTGTTATCGATCCAGCGGCGCATGAGTTTTCTCCCTTTGGCCCAATGCCATGTAGTGGAATTTGCATGTTTTCACAAGCTGTTCTTTTCCTCCGTACAAGGTGTTCCACTTGTCTGGTCTCGGAGGGAGTAGCGTTCTTCTTGTCTCACTGAGTTTTGGGCACTCAAAGAGATGGTCTTCAACAGTTTCATAGGGGTAGTTACATAGCTGGCACTCTGGGGAGTGTTGTGGCTGTATTCTGTTTAGGTGTCCATTGAGTATGTTGCGTTCTAAGTCTGAAGATGGTGGCCTGGTCCCTTCTTGTTAGATGGTTAATGCTGTCATTAGGATCAGGGCCAGACATATGTCTATAAACCTCTCTTCCAGTGTCTCCCATGGTCCATCTGTTCAACCAAGTCTCTTTGTTTATAGCTCTTATCAGTGTTTTTGCTGTCTGGAGGGTTGTCGCTGTAGGTGGTTGTTCTTGTGTTGCTCCTTTCTTTGCCAGTCTGTCAGCTCTGTCATTACCTGGTGTGCCGGAGTGACCCGGAATCCACTGCATCACTATTCTGATGTTGTATGAGGTAATAAGCTGATCGGCATCCAGGATTATCTTGGCTATGTCAGTTCTGCAGCGTTCATTGCCCTCCAGAGCTTGAAGGGCAGACATTGAATCTGTGAAGATGACAATATTTTGGACCTTTGAGGGGTAAACATCCATTACAGTCTTTAGGTGGTATACTGCTGTTTCCAGTGCAATTATTTCAGCTTCATAGTTTGAACAGAATTCCCCGCATGCATCAAAAATCTCTTCAACAGATCCATCGGGATAACCTATGTAGATTCCGTAACCTGCTTTAATGGTAGCTTTAAATGCTGATCCATCAGTATAGACATGTATCCATTCTTGGGGGTAAGAATCAACGGTCTTTAGTGATGAGTTCATAAGAGCGATTGGGTCGGACTGTTTGGTTTCCTCGCCTACCAATTTAGTTTGGACTTCTGGAGCTTTAAAGCGAGCATGTCGTTATAAATCGTCATCCCCTCGTGGGACACAATTTTTAATTATTTTGAAGCCCCAATCTGGCGTTTGCCGGCGGCCCTAAATATAGCCAAGCTTTATATATGGCCAAACGGCTGAACGGAGTTTCCGGGACCTCTCCACGGATGATCTTTAACCGCATGGTGGCACGAGTGTTTATTGCTTGTGTGATGTCCGAGTGGGGTACAACTACCGATATATACTTCTTTAGAGTGCATTTGCCTGAGAGGCGAGGAACCGACAGTGTGTGCATAAAATAAGTCAACTTTGTAATACAGATATGCACGCAAAACTCAAGTTCTGGAACAAGACTAAAGTCAAGAAGTGGACCAACAGCCATAACTTTACCTCCAGAGTTTGACGCGGTGAATGCAGAGAGAGAGAGAGAGAGAGAGAGAGAGAGAGAGAGAGAGAGAGAGAGAGAGAGAGAGAGAGAGAGAGAGAGAGAGAAGGGGGGGGGGGAGAAAGAGAGAGAGAGAGAAAGAGAGAGAGAGATAGAGAGAGAAAGAGAGAAAGAGAAAGAGAGAAAGAGAAAGAGAAAGAGAGAAAGAGAGAGAGAGAGAGAGAGAGAGAGAGAGAGAGAGAGAGAGAGAGAGAGAGAATCAATATAACTCTCACCGGATGGTCGGCGTCCAGTTCCGTTCCATACATGAGGACATTGTTTGCGCTGTGGTCAAGATCGGACACTTTTCTAGGGAACCATGGCACACACTCCATACAGGCTGAAATACACAACGAATCATTTAGTTGTCGGCCTCTGTGACTTTAGTGGTATCAACGCAGTTAAATAATTTTGAAACATCTGATCCATTCAGCTGCAGACGATTTGGCAACAGACCCTTTTGCGTTGCTTTTTACCAAGGTATCGTTAACCGTTCAATTTTCAATGTCAAACTACTGAACGAAAATTGCATAATAAAACCACAAACACCCAACACATGTTTGGTTAGTTTGTCGGTTTCATGTAAGAGATATCCAAGTATCTTTGAAAGGATGATGTACGGCTGTTATAGTGCAGGTTGGGGAGTGCGTGTGGGATTGTCTCGGGGGATTTTCAATTCGTTTGTTAAGAGTTACAGAAAGAAATGCACACACGCACGATAGACAGAATACACAGCGGGGGGGGGGGGGGGAGAGAGAGAGAGAGAGAGAGAGAGAGAGAGAGAGAGTTATACACATGCACAATGACAGACAAGGAGACAGAGAGCGACAGACAGGCTGAGAGAAAGGAGGCTGAAAAAGAGATAAAGATAGCTACCTGGGGTTGTGAGTGAGTGAGTAAGTGAATGATAGAAATGAGACAGCCAGTGAGAAAGAGAAAGACAGATATAGAGAGATAGAGAGAGACTGAAAGAGAGAGAAAGAGCGAGTAAACAAAACAACGTCACAGCACCAAAAGTAAAGACATACCGGCTTTTGTGAGAGCTGGGGGTGTCATGGGGATGGTCAGTTGGTTAAAGGTGATGCTGGCCACTTCTCTCTTCAGCCTGTTGACCAGCTCCTCTAGACGGATGTGGTCAGTCTCCACCTCCACACAGATGTCGTAGAGAGCGTCCGAGCGGCGTGACTTGCGAGATTCTATGTGTACAACGTTGATTTTGTTTTCCTGCACAGAAAAAAAAAAAAAAAAAGAACAGTTATTTGCGTATCCATTTATACAGGACTTGTAAAATCAACTGCAGCATTGTTAGCTGTCTGTTGTATGACTTCAGTAGTTTGTCACACTTGTATAAACGCTCACTTTTTAAGTATTTACTTGCACGTTTAATTTTCTTGTTCGAGTATTTGATCCATGTTAACGGTTTTTTTTTTATCGGCCTTTGGCTTTCTTTCTCATAATATCTTGGACAAATAAGATGAGAAATATTGACATCTTAAAAGATCTGAACATCAAGGAAAATAGGCTAATAAACAGCATCCTTTCTCTAAAGCTGAAATATTTTGGTCATATCAAGCGCCACGACGGATTGGAAAAAAATTATAGCAGAAGGCATAGTACCAGGAAGGAGGGGCAGGGGCCGACCGACACGAAGATGGGCACAGAATATAGGTAACTCCTTGAATGTGAAAATGCATGAGGCGGGAGAACTGGCGAGAGACCGAGTTTCTTTCAGGCAGACTGTGATGAGAGCAAAGGACCTGCTACATGATGATGATGATTGGCTTTCTTTAGTAAATAGAACGTCAAGTGAAGGTATCTTCTTATAAGGGGATAGGTGAACTTTTGGTTTGCTGATGGAGACTGACTTACTGTGACGTTAAATTATGTGTCTAAAACATGTGTCACAAACATGAGAAATGTGTAAAGCTCTGAATTAGACAATATAAAATATAGGACGAGTATCATAGTCCGACACTCCCAAGCAAATGAACTTTTACTTCTTTAAATGATTTCAAAATGTCTCAAAAGGACCAGCAGTGTTTCTTTGGTGTTTGGCGCCTATGACAAGGAGGGTCAGAAAATGGTTGTAATCTGCATTAGCCATTGCTTAAATTTGGTAACTTTGAAGGATTTTACAGTGCATAACTGGAAAGCTTGTTTAATTAATTTACAACAAAATTCAAAGCATGAAAGAATATACTGGGTATGTGCTGTTAAAGCGTGTAATCTGCCTATTGTTAACTCTGAGAGTGTTATGAACAATTATCACCCTCCCTTTCCACTTTTCTTCTGTGTGTCAAATCGGTTTATTATCTTCTTTCTAATAATAATAATAATAATAATAATAATAATAATAATAATAAATTGTCGAATACAAGTCGATAGTATATTCCGAACAAGAACAACTACAATAGTATATATATATATTTAAAAAAATGATAATTTGTTGTATTAAGAAACAGGTACTGGGTACTGTTACAGAAATTACAGACTACGGAATCAACGTAAGCAGTGTTGAAAAACTCAAAGTACAACATCAAAGTAGATGGAGCAAACCTCAGGCAAGCTTATACGTTTGTGTACTTGGGTATCCTGATAACATCAAATGGCAGATGTATTAAAAAAGTTAAACCTAGAATAGCTCAAGCAAAGTCAGCATTTCACAAAAGGAGGAATACTTTATACAAGCTATATGTGTCAACTGAGACGAGAAAAAAAGAATTTTTAAAAGCTATACAAATCCTGTTTTGATATACAGAAGTAAATCATGGACAGTGGGTAGATTAGTGAAAAAAATATTAGGAAGCTGCAGAGATGTGGTTCAACAGAGGAATCACGAGAATACACTGGACAAATAAAAAGAGTAATGAAGATGTTTTGAAAGAAACGGACTCACCAAGAGAACTGAAAGCGCACACCAGAAAAAGACAGTCTACATTTTATGTTCATGTGATGAAAATGAGAAAACTGGAATGCATCGTTGGAGGGAAGGAGAGACAGAGGCAGACATAGAAAAGATGCTGGACAATGATATACCATGGCATGGAGGATCATCTATATCAGAGTTGATTGAAAGAACAAGTGACAGAAGGTTGTGGACAAAGACGTGACGACCAGCCCACACGGCATGGAATTTAAGCAGAAGAAGAAGAAGCACTGATCAGGGATGAACCCTTATATCGTTGTTGTGTGGAATCGTTCTAACCTTCTTCAACAACATGAAATTCATTGTGATCCCTCCAGATAAGACTGCCGCTTAAAACAACCGAATACCCCCACCCTCTTTCTTTTTTCCAAGAGGGGCCCGGGGGCAAAAGCCCTACCAGCAATACCCTAGATACGCCACTGAAAGGCGCAAGTAGGATAGCAACTGCACAGTTACAACAACGGCTACTTCTGCTATACCACTACTACATTTACTACAATGAAAAGCTAAAAAAAAAATAAAAATAAAAAAGACAACTACTACTGCTGAAACAATAACCCATACCACCATCACAGCAGCAGCAACAACGTCTGTTATTATAACTTACAGAAACCAGAACAACAACAACAACAACTACTACTACTAATACTACTACTACTACTACTACTACTACTACTACTAATACTAACAACAACCACAACTGCTACTACAACTACTACTAACAACAACAACTACTACTAACAACAACAACAACAACAACAACAACTTCTACTACTACTATTATTCCTGCAACTAACAACAACTACTGTCACTGCCACCAGGGTCGGCTTCTGGATCCCAATGTCAAAACTGGCGCAAAGCCCGCTGCTGGGATCAAACTACATACCCCGGCATTAGGAAGCGCGTTCGCAACGCGTAAGTCACAGACGCCGACTACTACTTCCAGTAAATCATTGAAACAATAACTACTACTACTTCCAGTAAATCATTGAAACACTAACTACTACTACTTCCACTAAATCAATGAAGCAATACCTACTACTACTTCCACTAAATCATTGAAACAATACCTACTACTACTTCCACTAAATCATTGAAACAATAACTACTACTACTTCCAGTAAATCAATGAAGCAATAACTACTACTGCTTCCACTAAATCAATGAAGCAATAATTACTACTACTTCCATTAAATCATTGAAACAATAACTACTACTACTTCCACTAAATCATTGAAACAATAACTACTACTACTTCCACTAAATCATTGAAACAATAACTACTACTACTACTTCCTCTAAATCATTGAAACAATAACTACTACTACTTCCAAGAAGTCATTGAAACAATAACTACTACTACTTCCACTAAATCATTGAAACAATAACTACTACTACTTCTACTAAATCATTGAAACAATAACTACTACTACTTCCACTAAATCATTGAAGCAATAACTACTACTTCCACTAAATCATTGAAACAATAACTACTACTACTTCCACTAAATCATTGAAACAATAACTACTACTACTTCCACTAAATCATTGAAACAATAACTACTACTACTTCCAAGAAATCATTGAAACAATAACTACTACTACTTCCACTAAATCATTGAAACAATAACTACTACTAATTCCAAGAAATCATCGAAACAATAACTACTACTACTTCCACTAAATCATTGAAGCAAAAACTACTACTGCTTCCACTAAATCAATGAAGCAATAACTACTACTACTTCCACTAAATCATTGAAGCAAAAACTACTACTGCTTCCACTAAATCATTGAAACAATAACTACTACTACTTCCATTAAATCATTGAAACAATAACTACTACTACTTCCACTAAATCATTGAAACAATACCTACTACTACTTCCACTAAATCATTGAAACAATAACTGCTACTACTTCCACTAAATCATTGACGCAATAACTACTACTATTTCCACTAAATCATTCAAGCAATAACTACTACTACTTCCACTAAATCATTGAAACAATACCTACTACTACTTCCACTAAATCATTGAAACAATAACTACTACTACTTCCACTAAATCATTGAAACAATAACTACTACTACTTCCACTAAATCATTGAAACAATAACTACTACTACTACTTCCACTAAATCATTGAAACAATAACTACTACTACTTCCAAGAAGTCATTGAAACAATAACTACTACTACTTCCACTAAATCATTGAAACAATAACTACTGCTTCTTCCACTAAATCATTGAAACAATAACTACTACTACTTCCAAGAAATCATCGAAACAATAACTACTACTACTTCCACTAAATCATTGAAGCAATAACTACTACTACTTCCACTAAATCATTGAAACAATAACTACTACTACTTCCACTAAATCATGGAAACAATAACTACTATTACGCCAAAACAATAGGAACTTTTATTTTTACTACTGCTATTATTCTCACTACCACAAAGACTTCTTTTATTAATAATAAAAATACGTTTAATACTATTACCACTCCCATCACTACTCCTACTACGACTACTACTACTATTGATGCTGCTACAACAACAACAACAACAACGACAACATCAACAACTACTACTACTCCTACTACTAGCATTACTACTAGTACAACTCACCTGGAAGATTTTCAGAGCACTAGCCAGATGACCGACATGGTTATTGACTGAGAAAAGAAGTGTGGTTGTTGTCCCCAGGCCAGACGGACTGTTCATGCCCTCCAGATTCCGCAGGCTATCCTGCAAAAAAATTGTATATAAAATCCTTGGACATTTACCAAACAGGACGTATACCAAACAGGACACATATTGAACAGGTCGTATACCAAACAGAACGTATACCAAACAGAACGTTTATCAAACACGACGTTTACCAAAAAAGGACGTATACCAAACAGGATACATATTAAACAGGACGTATACCAAACAGGACGTATACAAAACAGAACGTTTACCAAACACGACGTTTACCAAAAAAAAAAAAAAAAAAAGGACGTATATCAAACATGGGGTATACCAAACAGGACGTAAATCAAGCGAATTTTTCCATAAGAAATAAAGGTAGCATGATTAATCTGTTCCCAAGAGGAAATATATTATACGTTAATGAGTTTGTTTACAATAATTTATATATTGCCTAATACTAAAATACATGAATACAAAACCGGACACGAAACAAATAAAAATGTAACCTCACTTTACCTTTATTAAACAGGACAAAAAAAAAAAAAAAGGACGTATATCAAACATGGGGTATACCAAACAGGACGTAAATCAAGCGAATTTTTCCATAAGAAATAAAGGTAGCATGATTAATCTGTTCCCAAGAGGAAATATATTATACGTTAATGAGTTTGTTTACAATAATTTATATATTGCCTAATACTAAAATACATGAATACAAAACCGGACACGAAACAAATAAAAATGTAACCTCACTTTACCTTTATGAGAGGAATCGAGGGTTTTCTATGATGATATTCAGGAAGAGAAGGAGATTTTATTGTCTGGCAGAAGAATCCCTTCCAATACAACTTCAAGAATCTGAAATTCTCATCTCTCTTCATTACTCGAACCTAGTTGAGGCTCATCGGGTCTGATTTTTAATAGAAGTCTGCCCATAGAACTTTGCTTCTGTCTTCTCCTCATGATGTTTTGGAAATGTGCCATTGTCTGGTCACTCAAGACAATTTTTTACGGCTAGTTTGGGCTTTGTTGGTGGATATGTTATTGACATCTATCCATGATTTGTCTCGAGAGAGGTAAAATAGCCCGAGACGTCGTGACTAATTTTGACTCATACACGTTCTAGCATGTTAGTTGTATTCCAAACATAGGTTATATACCAAGCAAACGTTTTCAAGTCTAAGCAGGCTGTATGCCAAAGTTGAACGTATACCAAAGTCGGTTAACATAATGCACATCTCCCCAAACAGAGTAGGTCACTTTTCATTCACAAGTTTGTTGGGCTGGTCGACTTTCCTGAAGGTTACAGATGTGTACCACTCTATTGTATGCTTTCGGTGTTGTCTTGCATTTACGTTTTCATTCTGAGAAAGAGAATGCCTGTGACATAGGTTGCAGCAGTTTCTAGTGGGTTTGTGTTAGGGTCAGTTGCTGCATGTGTTTAGAGCGTCAAAAGCACTGGCGTGCTAAAATATACAACACGCGATATCAACGGTATCGCGGAACACCCCTCTAACCTTATGCAAAGGACACTAGGCTCAGGAACTTCCAATCAGAAGTGGGTGAACATCACGTAAATCTCCCCAAACAGAGTTGATCTTCTTTTCATTTACAAGTTTATTATACTGTTTGACTTGCTGACTGTTACGGGTGTGTCCGGCTCTGTTGTTTGCTTTCTGTGTTGTCTTCCATTTAAGTTTTCACACCAAAAAAGAGAATGCCTATGACATAGGTTGCAGCACACTCTAGGAGCGTTGTGTTAGGACCAGTGCTGCATGTTTTTGGACTGTTAAAACCGCTGGCGTGCTGAAATATTCAAGACGCGATATCAACGGCCTCTCAGAACACCCCGAAACCTTGTGCGAAGGTGACAGGTTCAGGAACTACCAACCAGAAGTGACCTAGTGTGTATATAGGCGGGGGGTGGGAAGATTAACGTTACATGTTCCCCAAAGCGAAGTTATACCGAGGTACGACTGTATTTGATTTCTCGTTGGTTCCGAAATTACTCACACTGGGTACAATAATTGGCTTGAAAATTAAAAAAAAAGAAAGACACAATTGAAATGTTAAGTTCAACATAAAGTTAACATATTGAAATCACAACCGCAAATTGTAAGCTTGTTAATCAATTTAAATCATTCATTGCATATTTCGTATATTATCATTGTTTTGAACTATATCATATCAAAAATATATTAACGATATATTTTTATAACAGGGTCGCGACTCGAAAAAGTTTGGAATCGCTAGTGTAACATCTTCACTGTTCTAGCTGATCTGAGCAGAGTTGAGCTGAGCTGAGTTAAGAACCAATATCACAGGACTCGGGACAAGCCCCATAAGCGCTCTGTCCTTATCTTCAACAGCCAACAAACAGTTCCGATTCCGATGGTATCAGTAACAGTGTGATTATACATCCGTCTCGCCTGTCCTCTGAGTGTAGAGTGCCGGTCAAATCGCCTGGTCACTCCAAGGTCGACCATTTTCCACCGACCGTGATGATCTATTCTCGCTTCTGTGCAGGTTCTTAGGTACGTAAAGTGAGTAAGGCGTGTAAGGACGTGCTCAGGTGCTTGACACTGCAGCCAGCAATGTCGAGGTTGACTAGCTTCTCTTCAGAGAGGTGACAAGTGAAATTTAAGTAGCCTGCCAACGACCTGTTGAGCACCCAGGTCAAACCCACCTCCTGGTGGTACATGCCGGAAAATTAAAGCTGCGGTGTTTCAGACTAACGGGGACATGGATCGCCTGGAAGGAGACGGGACCAACAAGGTCAGATATGTTCCTGTCCCACCACTCGACGGGCCTAGCAAGCCGGCAGTGGTGTAATTTATTGCTACTACACAAGAAAAATTAAACAAACTGCATACGATAATTTTTACTGTAGAACGACTGGGAGGAAGATGAGAGACAGACCAAGAAAGATATGGAATAATGATGTAGGCAAAACATGCGAAAAGATGAAGAAATCCATCACCCATGCCACCCAAGAAGCGCAAAACAAATACAGAAAACCACGACAATTGGCTACAACCTGGTATCACTGAGGCGACAAAAGAAGAAGAAGAAGAGAAACAAGCGAGTAAGTAAATGATTCTTTTCGTGCGTTTTCTTCAGGTCAGAAAATTGGGAGCTCACTTCGCATCGAGGCAGATTCCTACAGCTGATATGGAATTCCCGGTCGACCCAGGCCAAGTGCGCACCAGGAAACTCCGCAAGATGCAAAAGGCTTTTGTGATCCCTCTAGCATATTGTGCTAGACCTGCACTATTAGAGACAAATAGGCACTCGACAGGTGATGTGATCAATCCTTCCCCCCCCCCCCTTTTTTTCCCCCGCCCGCCTTTACTGTGGCATTATAAGTACCGTCAGATATTGCTAAGCTACCATATAACATTAGCCGGTACTACCTGTCTTCTATTAACGCCGAATGTTGGGAGGGGTATCCTGAACCTTTCATCCACATTGTGCTAACGGCTTCGGGCGAAGGAGAAGCGCATTTGTGGAAGATAGTAACAGTATCCTTGGAAAAGGAAATACAACATGAAAAAGTTATGTTATGGCAGGGTATGCAAGACCCATAGCTTTGGCTGGCAGCTGGTCTAGGAGGGAAGCTTCAACAGGCGAACAGAGCACTGATCTTCTGATTTGGCAGCTTCTCTAGCCTGCTTTGTTCCAAACGTACTGGTGTTACATTTCTTTGAAGTAAACAAAGCAGGTTGAAAGAAGAATCATGTTGCATTAGCAACATATGGTTTCTACAATACTGACCAGGCTTTTTACAATGGAGAGGAGGGACTTCATCCCCGGGGTTAATTTTGCTCTCGGAAACAAATGGAAAGACTGCAGTTACGGGTATAAGCCCTTGTCAACTCGCGTAGACGAGGGTGCCACTGGTGGCCTCTGAAAATGGGAGAAATTATCGAGTGTCACTGATCAACTAATACCCATCTTAAGGTGGGCAGCCGCCGGTCAATAAGGTGTCGATCCTGAGAACCAGGTTAATTATGTTTTAAACCCTAGACCTTCGGGTCAGCATCCAAGCATCCAGGTGCTAAACTAATACCGCACTCTATTTTAGGTTGTCATTGAACACAACTTCTTCTTATTGCACCGGGCTTGGTTTTGACAGTTTTTCGTCTTAGAAAATAATTTTTTTTTTGGCCCTTATGATTCTTGTTCTATTATGTACAAAGCAAACTGTAATATTTAACAACTGTTGGAATTTCTTCTTCTTCTTCTTCGCGTTACCAGGCTGTAAATTCTGGTGGAATGTTCAGGGTGTTAGTCTACCTACGGACTTTATTCTTGCTCCAGAATCTGAGTGTTGCGTGCACATCCGTTTCACAGATCTGGATTATTTGCATGCTGACTTGCGGTTCCTTGCCTTTCAGGCAGAGGTACTCAGGCTTCGAAGGAGGTCCTCAGTTAGTCGACTCCTACGACATGCTTGTTGGAGAGGGAGTGGATCTATTCTTGTTTCCCCTACTATGGGGCCGGTGACCCACACGGGGGATGTTCGAATGCAATATCAGGGATCTAACTGTTTTAAAATGTTCTTAGTAACTATGAGACATTATTGCTCTATCTCTGGTGCTTCAGTGTTTACACAGAAATTTATTTTTATATTGATCCTTTTATATAGTTAACATGTGTATATCAGTGTCGATTTTATTCTGTCTTATGAAAGTACAGTAACAGAAAGATAGGCAGAAAAAAACAATAGCAACAACATCAGCAACCTGTAACAACAACAGTAACAACCTCAACAACGGTACGAGAAACAGCAATAAATAGAAAATGAAACGGTAGCATAAAAAATAACAACAAAATTAACAACAATTACTTCAACAATGGTAACATTAATTTAAAAAAAAAAAATGCAAACTTCACCTACGTTAGCATCAATAAAAAATAATAAAACAAAATAAACGCAAATTTCAACAGTATTAGCAACAACAACAACAAATGCAATCAACAGTAGCAACTACACTAACAACTGCAAAAACAGTAGCAAGCACATCAACCTTAACCTAAACAAAAGAATGTAGCATCCATAATAAAACTAGAAACATAAGCAACGGTAGCAACAACTACAAAAACAATAATAACAATTCAAATTACAATAACAACAACAAAGAAGAAAAGAGGGCAACAGCAACAGCGAAAGCAACACAACAGCAACAACAACGGTAAAAAACAAAACAATATAAGCATTAACAACATTGACAACAACAAAAATACAGCACCTGGTGACAACGACTCAAAAAGAAAATCGAGGCAACAGCGATAACGATAACAACAGCAGTAGCAAGAGAGACATCAACCCCACCAGCACTGTAACCACCGACAACAACATCAACAGCAGCAACAACAACTATCTCCACCTACCTCCAAAGCCTTCAGTTGGGACTCCGACGGTGGCCGAATATCATCACACAGCCTCTTTCTTGCCAGCCCCTCCCTCAGGCCCATATTCTTCCTCTCTGGGTAATGATTACAGATCGGGAAAGGCTTCTTCTCCTCCGTATTAGGCACGTAAATACTCGCTGGGTGTCTAAGTGTGAACTTGTACATCTCCATGCAGTTGCCCATTGTTGATTCCTCTGCCCAACAAAAAGATGGATGGTTTGATTTCCAGTTAAACTGTGGTAAGGTGGTGAGATTCGATGTTAATTGTGGCTACTTCTGAGTTCGATGTATCTTCAGCAGTTCTTGAAATCTTATTGGAAAAGCAGCGCAAGCTGTTACCCGAATCTGCAGCACGAAAAAGGAATAATCTGGCATATTATTTTTTTTTTAAATCTGCTCCGATTCTTTAAAGCCAACATAGATGCGAGCAGGAGAAAAATGAAGAGTGATGAAGCAATAATGAAACTCCTAATCTGTTTAAAAAAAAAAAAACCCAACTAATTACTGCCACCATGGAGCCGAACAAACTGCTGTGACTTGGGTGTCTCCAGAGTCTTTTAGGAACAGCGACACAAAAACTGAGTTTGATTTGGAGTAGACCACCAGGAAAACTAAGAAGACGGCGGAGAGAGGATATTCAGGCAGACCTATAAACACTTGAAGTAACCAGCTACAAAGAGCAGGCCAATCACAGAGATAGACAGAGACAGGCGATATCAATCTAAATGGATGGAGGTGCTGACATGAAAGGATTTTTTTTTAAATAATGTAAATTTGAATACAACGACGGGAGCCGCTGTGGCGAAGTGGCTGGCACTCCCCTGCCGGTCAGAAGATCGGGAACTCACTTCATATCGAGGCAGATTCTCACTGCTGACATGGGATTCCAGGGCTACCCAGGCTAGATGGGTACCAGGAAACTCCATGAGAAGCAAAAGACTCCGTTTTGATCACGACGACATCATCCATGGACTGCTGATTTGCCTACATAAATAAAGGTATAGCACCATTTACCAGAAAAGACACAAGATAGTAGCTAGACGCTCGCATGTCGACCAAAAGATCTTGAGTTCAAAACGGCATCCAAGAGCAAACTGCAAAATATAAGTAGTACTAGCTGTGGTAGTGATGGTGGTGGTAGTGGTAGCAGCAGTAGCAGCAGCAGTATAGCAGTAGTAGAAAAGTAGAAGTAGTATTAACAGCAACAGCAGCAGTAGAAGCTGTTCTGGTGGTGGTAGTAGTACTAGTAGTAGCAGCTATTGTTTAGTTGTTATAGAAGAAGCAGAAGAAGCAGCAGAAGAAAAAGAAGAAGAAGAAGAAGAAGAAGAAGAAGAAGAAGAAGAAGAAGAAGAAGAAGAAGAAGAAGAAGAAGAAGAAGAAGAAGAAGAAGAAGAAGAAGAAGAAGAAGAAGAAGAAGAAGACGATGAAGAATAAGAAGAAGAAGAGGCAAGGGAGAAGGAGGCGAGAACGAAGAGGTTTAAATAAAGAAGGATCTAACAGAGGAGATGAATAAAGAAAAGACGAAGAAAGTAGAGGCGGAAGAAAAAAAGTAACAGTAGCAACAAAAGAAGGCGAAGATGAATAAGAACAGGACTGGTTTTAGGTTTGAACAACGGATCAACATCATGGCACACAGCTAGTATAAGTGCTCTCTTCTTCTTCCATCTCATAGTCCGAAGAAGCTTAGCACAGTGCATCGGCGAGGATCCTGAAATACGTTGGGTAGATTTTTAACTCCAAATTTTTGCCCGGGCAGCGCCGTTAAACTACTCTTTTCGATTTCCAACTGCCAAGTGATTTTTTTGCTTGCGCAACAATGCGCAACTTCACAGAGACTGGGGCGAATTAATAAAGATTCCAAGTACACGTAAAAAAATCCCAGCCCTTACCAGGGATTGAACCCGGAATCTCTAGCACTCGAGGCGTACACCATATCCCGAGACCACGCAGCATCCTAGTTGCATTAGAAGAGGAGGGGGAGAAAAGGGATGTAGAATAGTGCATGGTATCACAAATTATGTAAATGGAAAGGGAGTAGGTGGTGGTGGGGGGGGGGGTGGGGGTGCAAACATCGATAAAAAACCTCCAAACAAATAACTAAAATCTTGCTAATGTAGCCTCCTTACCTGCCTAGAGAAAGTTGTTCCGTTTCAGAATAATTGTGCGGCAACACACGGAAAGGGGAAAAGGAAGTTCCCACAAAACGCCGGGTTTCTAGAATCTGGCTAAAATGCAGTACGGCAGCTGCTTTAATAGACACGGCCCCGTGCAGTGACCAGACTGCAACAAGCTATCGGTAATTCGGACTGGCTGGAATCAAGCTGATTTGTAGTATCGTGGGCGGGAAAATGGTTCCCAGTAATTAGCCAGCAACCAAATTGTAATTAGAAGGGGGAAAAGATGCATTTTGAAATGAATCTCACTTAAAATTTTAGCAAGCACATATTTTTTTCGCCGCTTAGGGGGAAAAACAAACAAACAAACACAGATATGCGTTTGTTGGATGGTTTAAATAAGGCACATGAGATGTTATCAAGGTAGCGCTGGATAAAGTCGTGAGCTAATTAAGCAGATGGACAGAAAGTGTATCAGCTTGCTCATTACGATAAACAACGCTACATGTCATGGGCTATAAAAGGAAGTAGAGGAATGTCTGATGACAATGGTTATCTTCTCTTTTTACAACTGTTGTATTTTTTGTTAGTTATCAATATCGTATGGCGTTAGTTGTCAGGTATGTCGATAACCCTTTGTGTCTCTGCTTATTGTGGATGATATTAGACGTTAAATGTCAAGTATGCCACAGCTATTTACTTCATTATTTTATAGCTCATGTCGTACGACGTTGTTCGACATGAATGTCCACAACTTCCTGCCTCTCTTCTTGATGTAATTCATTGACTTTCTTATATCTCAAAATGACGGCCATACGATGCTTTTCAGCTAAACCTGATGCGATTTGTGTTGTGAAGTGAATATTCCGAAAAAAAGCGGATGGCATTTTGCAACAAAGCTAAACGTTTCTTACGCAGTAATACCTGTGCAGCTGCTTTTTATTCTTTATTTTGTTGTGACTGCTGTATTCATAAACGATGGACAGACTTTCTAATGGCCATTAGGGGGGGGTATGTGCGGGGGGGGGGGGGGGGGGGGGGGATGTCTGAATGTCTTATGCATTTAATGCGTGTGTAAGGTGTTAGCCCTGCAAGGACTGTAGTCTATCAGCTATTCATATAGGACAGTGTTAGGCATCCTGTGAGGTTTTCACTGGCAACAGAGCGTGACGATAGACATACAGCCAGTCCACCTTATGACAGGAAAAGTGGTCATGTATTTACCAGACATTCAACTATGAAAGATGGTTCTAATTCAATATTGTTGTTTGTTTGCGTTTACCAGCTGCGAACTCAACGGAAAGTGCTGACTGTTCATCCATTTGGACTTTGGCTTCGTGCTAGGATCTGCCTTTTGAGTGTACATCTGTTTTACTAGTTTATTTGTGCACAGTATGTTGTTTCTTGCCTCTCGTGTTGATGTATTCCTTTTTCGAAGGAGATTCATAGTTAACCTACAGTTTACATGAACGTATAAACGTACCTTAGATGTTTCGCAAGACAAGATTTGAATATGCTAAAAACAAAAGCACAAGCACCCTATGACGAGAAGGAGAGGTAATGATCTGTCACGGTGTAAGGGTAATTTGTCTTCACATTTATTTCTAGCATTTGCATAATCGATCAACTTCTATGTTTATGGAACGAGTCGTGTCGGAATCGGTTCTGATCTGCCAGATATGCAAACGTTCACACCGACCGTTGTATTTAGAGTGTAGATGTGAGCGTTTTCTGGCAAGATGTTCAGACATCGTTTGAATACAACATTTTAAAATATGTCTTTAATAGTTTGCTTGCTTTCAGTGTGTAGACTAAGTTTTTTTGTTTGTTTTGTACTTGTGGAAATGTTTGTCTATCTGACTGATGTCTGTCTGAAAAAAATATATGTCTATCTGTCAGTCTGTCTGTCCAATCTATCAACAGAACGCTCACTGCATTCTTATGCAGAAACTGTAACATTTGAAAGCTATCAGTTACTTGCACCACTATACTAGCTGTGCACGCATACACTCAACAGCAAAGTAACGATAACAAAATATCACATAATACCCTCTCCAGTGTAATCAGCACCTGCTAACGTTTACATACGTGAACTGATTACGCTTCGACACTGGATCACATCACCCATTCAGTCTTCGACTGGTCGATACATGTGTGGATATAACACTTTACCCAGAATTCTACTGGGACGTTAAAGGATTCTTATAGTTTATGTGTGTGTGTGTGTGTGTGTGTGTGTGTGTGTGTGTGTGTGTGTGCAGGAGGTCTTTGTGGCCAAGAAGGTCGTGAGTTCGTTTCACGGCTGTGTGGTTCGGTTCCCGAGTGTCATTTTCAACCCGAGATCGTCACCGGAGCTACGGTGTTTGCGCCACACTTTCGACAGGCGGCTAGCAGTTCTGAAGTGAGATACCGAGCCATATGGGATAAAACGTGGTGCCTTGAGGTCAATTCTTTCGACTTTAACCTTTTTATACTTTTTTTTTTCTTTTTTAATATTGAACGTAAACTATATCACTAGTCCGTTTGTCGTCACTGCACACAGAGACTATCACCACATAATGAAGATAATCATCGCCGAATGCGATAACAATTTCTCCTGTACAGTTAAACATACACACCTACACATGCACGCGCTTGCTTATGATATTAGCCAGGTACCTGGGAAAGCTGTTATCTTTCTCTAGATGGTTGTTATCTAATAACATTTGCCGATAACTGTTATCTAATGATATTACCGAAACTCAAATATAATAATGCTATAGGAAGTCACAATCATGAGTTTGGTTATAAAGTATTTAGTAAACGTTTCTGTGTGCTTGTTTACAGTAAGTAAATTAGTGTTATTTTGTGTGTGGAGAAAATTTCGTGGAAATATGCTAGCTTTATGTGGGGGTTTGTATTGATTTTTTTGACACTAAGATTAGTTGTCATGTACAGGGGTACCAAAACGTGGGGAAAGGGAATGGGGGGTGAAAACTTTCCCTGCCCCTATAATCTTGGTAATGTGACTATGTATCCCCCATTACCCGTGTATAGAAATTCTCCATAAAAGTATTTGTTTATTCTGCA